GCTTTAGGAATAACAAATTTGTGGTCTTGTGATACTAGATTTTTTCAGGTGAATAGTGAATTGATCTTGTTTTCCTAGTGGATTCATATCAAGAAATTGTTTTTCTTCAAGATGATTGAAGGAAATAAATGATCATGTACTCTTCTGTATTTACTGTTGAAAATTCAAACACTTCTGTGTTTGAATTGAAAATGATTTTCGCGAACGTTTTTCTGTGTAGCGTGCATCGTCGTTTCAGCTGTCAACCATTCTTGAGTGTTTGTCTGGTAACGTATTTAAAGACAGACAGACCTGGCCTTGGTTTAATTGTAGGTAGTGCTAACGGAACAATAAAATTTCTTCCAGTTATAAAATCTTCCACTGTTCAAGGACTGTACAACCTACTTTGTGTTGCATATGATACATTTTAACCTGCAGTAAGATCTTATGTGTAATTAGAATTTCTTTCGATAAGTTCCTCCCCAAAAATGAACCCACAAAAAATGTATTTTGAACTTATTTAAGCTTAGGATTTCACTTTCAGAATTCAATGGTATGTACATTAACAGGATGTAATCTTGTAATATTTGATTGTGTTTTAGGCCTGTTTATATGTGATTCTACTGTGGAGAACAGACTGGGAGAAGCAGTGCAAACTAGTGAGTAAAGCCGTAAAAGACTGGGCTTACCAATTATTTTGATGTAAAAATGTCGCCCAGGTCAAGAGTATCCGCGATAGCGGTTATGGGAACATGGAAACAGTAACAGATGTGGTGCGAATGAACGCTGAGAAAGAACCCTGAATGTTGTGATGATTTCAATTGAGAAAAGATAACAGACCATTTAGTAAACCGGAGTAGAACAACAATGAACACGAGAAACTAAAGGAAGAAGATATCCTGGAAGTATTTCTTCCTCGAAAGAAACCGGTAGATTGCGCCATAGAGCAGCTGCAGAGATGTTCTCTCACTGGTACGTTATCTTCTCTTGACGTCTCTTCAGCATTCCATCCCGTTTTATTTGTTTATTTTACCCTCAGAGACAAGTGGGACAAGTGTTATCTCGCTGCGGTTTGTGGGAGCGTTACTAGGGACAAAACAAATGACGAGAAGCGACATTGGTTCCAGTAACGATTCCACAAGCGACTGCGAGGGGAGACACAACCCTGATTTCTTCTTGTTTCGCAAGTGGCGAATTCCGTAAGTTACTTAGGAGCGGGGCCTTTCGGAGCGTGGAAAGACTGAGATAAACAAGACACTTGGTTGCGCCCACAGTTTACTTCAGGGATTAGTGCCCCGGTCTTTGTTAATTGTATCGTGACGTGTGTTCACCATTTCACGTGTTTAGTGACTTGATACTGGAACTGATTAGTTTGTGAACACTGGATGTTCTAGTACCTGAGTGATCCGTCCAGTGTTGCTGTTGTTCACCATTTTTGTTTTTGTTC